TCTCCCTAATTTGATAATAGGTTCCTTCAGGGTAGGGACTGTCTTTTGCCTCATTTTGTATCCCCAGAGCTTAGCACAGTGCTTGGCACATAGAAGGTACTTAATAAATGATTATTGATTGAACATAATATGGACATGAGATTAAGGAAAGGCCAACAAGAACTAGTTGAGAACAATATTAATACTTAGCACAGTATTTTGCCCATAGTATGTGCTTAATAAATAGCAAGTAGGGAGAAAATCACCCACTTGTGGGCTCCTATGTGGTGGTGCCATTCTTGCCATAGTGGGCCAAAGAGCTCAAAGGCGAACTTTTATCCCTGAAAAATCTCTCCTCCCAGTAAGGACTCTTCAGTGGTACTGGAATTTGGATGGATCAGAATAGTCCTATAGGAACAGCAAGGGCCTAACAAAAATTCAGCCGACTGTGTGACTCTAGCCAAACTATTTCATACTTCTGAACCTCAGTTTCCTCATCTGTAAAATGGGGATACCAGTACCCTCTTTACAATCTCACAGAGTTGTTGGGAGGTAATTGCTTTGTAAATGGTGAGTTGCTAAGTAAACAAGAGCTGCTATTAGGATCATTTATTTCTGCTTCTCTATTAGTGTGGGATTTTGATCTATTAAGTGCCTCTAGTCAGGTGGCAAAGGAATGAGGGGAATGAAGCAATGCAAAATGATCGACCTCACCTTGTTGGTTGGGAGATCGGTTTAGCCTTTTTTTAATCCAAGGGCAGAAGTCATACAGTTGTCATCCTTGTGTCTCTTACAATGGCTGGGATGTCTCCATAATAGACTTGCAGACCTCTGAGCACACACATAAATCAGCCCTGGATGCACACAAATCCATGTGCACCTGCTAGGCATGGACTTTAAAGATAAAAGATTGGCTTTCTCTTTGAGCAGTACACTGGGATCTGGAGTCCTTTCCTGTCTAAGTACTTACACACACACTCCCTCACCCACACCCACAACCTACCCACATATACACCTCTCATACACACACACACATACACACACCTTTCATACATACACACATACACACCTCTCATACATACACACACACACACACACTCACACACACCCCCTCTTACACACACACATTATCCCCTAAGAACATATTTGTATTGTAGTGTGTTTAGAAGCTGTCTCCTCTACCCCCCAATCCCTCTGTCATATTGTCTCTCCTGTATATCCTCATTGTATGAACACTATACAATGTTAATAATCAATAGATATTAAAAAGAAATTATGTTTGAATGTGTGAAGTAGAAATATAGCATGTATACATGTACCGCAGTCTCTGTGTATCAAAGTTAGTGATAGCTTTTCATTAGACTTTAGGTTTCCTGACTTTCCAGGGTTCTTATCACTAGACCACACTGCCTTTCATGCGCATGCATGTGGATGAAGAACGGTGAGACCATGGGTGACCTGGAAAGGGGACTAGTCTCGACCAGGGTTTGCAATTTGGGTGCAAGCTTTGTTAATACTTATGAATTATTAAAATGAAATTATGTGTGTGTGTGAAGTGGAACTATGGTGTCTACACAGGTACTGCAGCCTCTGTGTTCCATGGGAACTGTTGCTGGATGGTTCTTTGTCACATCTGACTGTATTGGGTGAGGTATTGAATACTACAAGGAACACCGGACAACTATCCAAAGGCATGGGTTTGAGTCCTGCCAATTACTAGTGAGTCAATTCTCCTTTCTCAACCTCAGTTTCCTCAGCTGAAAAACAAGGATTATAATACCTGCACTCTGTAAATCTACACGTGCGACACCAAAGTAATAACTATTATTGTTGGCGGCATCACAGCTCTGGAACTAGAAGGGGCCTTAAAAGTCATCTAGTCCAGCCCCCTTATTTTATACTGAGAAAAATGAGGTCTAGAGAAGCCCGGCGACTCATCTAATATAACATGACTAGCAGGAAACGGTGGATCGAGCATTCAAACTAGGGTAACTCTAACTCTCAGACCAGCGTTGCTCCTGTTACATTGTCCTTGGCTTACCTGCTATTTCAATGCTAATTCCTGTTCCAGCTGTTTCCCTCCATTTTAATTTAGCTAAATCAATCAATTAATAAGTATTTATTAAGCGCCTACTCTGTGCCTTTGCTGTGCCAGACACTGGACATACAGCGCTGAAAATGAAATAGCCCCTCTTCTCTGTTGGGGGAGATGGATGTACAAATAAACATGTAAAAATCTATGCAAAATAAATTCAGATAATTTTGGGAGGGAGGAATCCAAGGGTTGGGGGGGATCAGGAAAGGTGCTGGGTAGAAGGTGATGCTTTGAGCTGAGTTTTAAAGAGAACAAGAGATTCTAAGAAGTGGGGGTGGGGTGGGGAGAAGGGTGTACATTCCAAGAGTGAAGGACAGACAGTGCAAAGGTATGGAGATGGGGACGTGAGGAGCAGCAAAAAGGTCAATTTGACTGGACTGGGAAGGGCATATTATAAAGGAAGTCTAGAGAGGTAGGATGGTATCGGGTCATTTTGAAAGGCTTTAAATGGCAAGGAGAGGAGTTTATATTTGCTCCTAGAGTCAAACGGGGGTCCAGTGGAATTTATAGAGCAGGGGATTGACATAAATTTTAGGAAAATCACTATGGCAGCTATGTGGAATTGACATAACTTGATTTATTAGAAATCTTAAATCCCCCCTTTTATTCTCCTAGCTTTCTGCCATTTTCTGCTGGGCACTCTGCAAGATATATCAAGTCATGATCAAGAGAACATTGATTTTAATCGTCATAAAATGCAAGCTCTTAGAGTTCAGTGACTTTGTTTTGAGTTTTGTTTATATCTCTCTAGTACCTGGCACAGGCTCTTAATAAATGCTTGTAAGCAGCCAGGTGACATAGTAGATAGAACACTGGATCTGGAGTCAGAAGACTTGAGTTCAAATCTAATCTCAGACTAGTTGTGTGACTCTGGGAAAGATCCTGTCTCTTTCAGTTCTCCCATCTGTAAAAATGGGGATGATAATAGCACTTACCTCCCAGGGTTGCTGTGAGGAGCAAACGAGATAATATTTGTAAAGTGCTTAGCACTGTGTCTGGCCCATAATGGGAACTTAATAAACGCTTTTTAAAAATTTCATCGGAAATTATATAGGCTATATAATTATATAATCATATTATATAAATATGATTCAGGCTCAATATTTCCCCAAACTCATCAAACCCTTGAAAGACAATTTTTTTTCTTTCCATATCCCGAAATTGAAATCTCAATATGGCAGTATTGAGACAGGAATGGGGACTCTCTAGGCCTAGGAAATCTGAGATGGCCCCAAGGAAATTTTCCATGGGAGGTGACTTGTGCAGAATGAAACATCCAGAATTTCCATGACCTTGTTCCATCTGGGGAATAACATGGACACCTGTCCCTACAGTGTCTCTAAGGCACCAGGACGGATGTTCTATTTTGAGTGAGATGACTATTTTCAAATGCCCATGCTGGTGAAATATGGGAGGAAGGGGTTGAGGGGAAAGGATGTAGGATTTCTGCCTATTGCCTTCCCTGGCTTCCTTTAAGTCCCAACTAAAATCCCGTCTTCTACAGGAAGCTTTTTCCAACCTCTCTTAATTTTGGTGCCTAGAATTCTGGGCATCAAGGTGGCATAGTGGATAGAGTACTGGGCCTGGAGTCAGAAGACCCGAGTTCAAATTTGACCTCAGATAGTTACTAGCTGTGTGACCCTAAGCAAGTCACTTAACCTCTATTTACATCAGTTTTCTCCACTGTAAGAGTGAAAAAACAATAGCACCTTCCTTGAAGGATTGCTGTGAGGATCAAATGAGGCAATATTTGTAAAGCACTTAGCACAGTGCCTGGCACACAGTAAGTGCTACATAGATGCTTATTCCTTTCCGTTCCCCAGTGTCTTGTCTCTCTTAATTATTTCTTATTTATCCCGAGTATAGTATTTGCTTACTCATTGTCTCCGCCATTAGATTGTGAGCTCCTTGAGGGTAAAAACTGTCTTTTGCCTCTTTTTGTATCCTCAGAGCATTGTACGGTACCTGGCACATAGAAGATACTTAGTAAATATTTATTGACTGGTTGCAGGGTCAAAATCCTCATACTCAATTTTGCTCAAATAGGTAAACTGAGAGATAACATATTACATGGAAAAAACTCTTACGACTTGGAGCTACAGGACCTGAGTGTGAATCCCGGCTCTACCACTTAATGTGTGACCTTAGCTGTCACTTAGATTCACTGTGCCTTAATTTCTTCATCTGTAAAATGAAGGGGTTGAACTAGTTGACTCCATGTCTCATTCTAGTTCTAAATCTACAGTCCTACGATCTTAGGCAGAAGAGAAAGGACCAGCCTAAAAGTCAAGAGAAACTGGGTTGAAGACCTGTCTTTGAATGGACCCCAGGCTGTGTGACCGTGGATAAGTTATTTAACATCTCAGTTCTCTATGTAACTCTCTTAGACTATTAGTTACAACTAAATTGTCACTAGCAGAGGGATTTTCATGCCATGAACTCTCTATACCTAAGAAATCACAGATTCTGGCACAAATGTAACTTCTGCAAGTAATATAGAGTGCACTGCATTTTATATCATTCCAATGCTTTGAAATCCTTATGTACATTGCTCCACAGGAGGACAGCCTCAGTTTTCTCATCTGTAAAATGAGGTTCGGCTTGCTGGTCTCTACATTTCCTTTAAATCTAACTCTATGAGCCCATGATCTATTCTCTATTTATCTTGTATGTTCATAGATGTTGGCTCCCCTATTAGAATAGGATTTCCTTGAGGGCAGGGACATCACAATTTAGCCTTCCTTTCATATTCCCAGTGCTCAGTACAATGCCTGGCACATAAAAAGTGCTTAATAAATATTGACAGACGGACAGATGGACTGATTAAACCAAGAGTTATCAGTTCTATTTCTACTCTACTCATCTGACAACTCTTGGTCTATCTGCCAGGCCAGCTTCAAGTGTGACTTACCCTTCGGGGAATTACCTTATAACAAAGCTGTGAGTGTCTATCTCCCGCCCACAGCCACTGTTCAGCAGAATCCCGGAGTTGCCCACGATGGCACAGGTCCTGAAGTGTTTGTTCTTCAGGGGAGAAGTTCTGGGCAGGAGTTCATACAAGTTCTGAGACACATTCATGGTGCTAGCTCGGTCAAAGATATAGTGGATGATGTCTCCAGGCTTCAGGGTCCCCTTGAGCACTGATATGTCTTTTTCGGCATCTAGGAACTTCAAGATTTGCTTCCTGGAAAAACAAAGCCACATATGTAAGTGACAGAAAAGGGTCTCCTTCTTTCATCCCATCTCCCTAATGTAGCCCTCTCTTGCTGACTGTTCTCTCAGTGCTGCATTTTCTCTTCCTTCCCACCCTCTCCCCCCTCCCCATTATGTACCTACCCCTTTTTTGTCTGATAACCAGCCATTCTTCAGCAAACAAGGTAGGCAGCTGCATGCTAACCCCTTGGAGGTAATCTTGGCTAATGGGTTTGGGGCAGAGGTTGACTACCTACAGCAGGTGTGCTAAAGATGACCCAAGGACCAATTTTCTTTGGCAGGTGGGCTGTCTGCCACAGTTGGGCCCTTACTCTGACACCTATGGCAGATGTGACAGCTGCCACTTGTTTTAAGAGCTGGAGACTCAAATTTCCTTCTCCAATCTAGAGAGGAAGCTGCCAAGTCAGTGTGCCCCTCTAGCTCACTAGAATTGATTAGGTTGGAACCTTGGCACACTACTCTTAAAAAAAGAAGGCAGATCCTTGAGTTATCCTATGCTCGGGCATCTTTGACAAGGAGTGACACTGGGTAGGGTCCTGATTATAAGACTAGGAAGTCAGAGTTCAATTCTTCTTTGCCTTCTAATTAGCATGTATCTTTTGTTTTATCCCAATCCCTTCTGTGGTAAATTGGAAGGGAACATTGACTGGACAGCTTCTTCTCCAGATTGGGGAGGAAAGTGTGCTGCTAAATTCTTGTATCTACCTCAGATGTCAACTGGTCAACTTGCACAATGGCCTGTGGAGGCACCTTGTACTTTTTTGAAAATTTCAAGGACTTGCCATCAAAAGAAACTGCACAGTCAACTTTTAGAGGTTACTTGATGCGCCTCTCTATTCTATAATATTTCAGTGGTTTTTACAAATAAATATGTTTTGGTTCATGGTCGAAAAGGTCTAGGTGTTGTTTTTATTGTTTGGAGCAATCCTCCTACTTTTTTTTTTCTAGGCTTCAATGAAGGGGTTGGATTTCAGGGTTTCTTAAACTTTTTCCACTCATGACCCCTTCAGTGCTTCTTAAACTGTGGGTCGTACCCATAGGAGATGACCTCTAGGTCTCTTCCAGATCTGTAGTCCATGAGATTCAACAAATGATCCAATGACTATTAACTAGGTTTGGGGTTGTCTTCAATTCTATTCCATTCAAAAACAATTTTTTAGGCACCTACTATGCAGAAGGTAACATGGTAGGTACTGGGGATAGAAAGACAGAATGAAAAACGGTGGTCGCCCTCAAGATTATATTTATTAGGGGGATACAACACGTAGAAGACGATTTGAGGATGGAGAAAACACTAATAATTAGGAGGATTAGGGAAGGCTTCCTGTCGGAGATGTCACCCAGGTTGAACCTTGAAGGAAGCTTAGGATTCTAAGTATAGGTAAGGAAGGAATGCATTCTAGGCACAGGTGACATGCTATGCAAAAGCTGGGGGTGGGAGATAGCACGCTGAGTCTGGAAACAGAAAGTTGGCCAGTCTGGCTAGAAAGTAATATGACCCATAGCTTTTGGGAAAAGATAGAACCTGCTATCTGGTTGGTTTCTCTTAGGATCATGAGATCATATTTTTAAGACTTCACCTTAAAGGATTCAACAAAGACACCTTTACAATATAATAGAGTATGAGCAGAGAGGAATTGTTTGTATTAGAGATGGCTACATGAAATGGCCTAAGTTCATATAGGAGCAGCTAGGTGGCACAGTAAATACAGTCTGAAGCTAGGAAGACCTGAGTTTAAATCCTGCCTCAGATACTTCCTAGCTGTTTGCAAATTATTTTTGCCTCAGTTTTCTCATGTGTAAAATGGGAATGATAGTAGCACTTATTTCCCAGGGTTGTTGTGAGGATCAAATGAAATAATGTTTTTAAAGTGCTTAGCAAAGTGCCTGAAACATAATAGTTGGACATAAATGTTAACTGTTGTTAACTCAGGAGAAGCTGAATACCTTTGAATGAAATAAACAAAAAAAAAAAAAAGAGAGAGAGAGAGAGATTTCATTGTTATAGAGCTCATTTCATTATAAGATCTCTAAGCACCTTGTGGATATGAACAACTACTCAATATCATCAGCCAGATTTTTTTACTTTATTTTTTTAAAAAAATTTTACTTTGATTTTTCAAGAATCAATGAATTTATTTGTGGCAATTCTTCCTCTACTAATGAAGGCTGTAATCCCTCAGTAGAAGAGTTCATGAATTACTACGGTTGAGAACATTTATCACCTGGTGGCCAACCTTCTGGTGATGAGCCTTTCCAAGCCTAGCTGGCCTGACCCTTAGATGACAGATGTACATTCTATCACTGGACTCAAGCTTGACACCTTGCCAGCTTGGTAGGATCTGCCAGAATTCATGTGCTGATGCCATCGTCCTCGAGAAACCTGGGTCACCTCCATGTCCCAAGGATGCATCAGAGTTAGGACTGCAGAATGAAGACTTGGCCAGGAGACAGAGGACTTAGATTGAAATCTTGCCTCTGTAACTTACCAGTTTTGTGACTTTGGGCAAATCACTTAACCTCTATTCGACTCAGTTTTCTCATATGTAAAATTAGGGACTTAGGCTAAATGGCCTATGAGTCCCTTCCAGTTCTAAATCTGTGATCCTATGATCTCTGCTGTGCAGATAGGAAAAACGATGCCTGAGAGGCATAAAGCTTTCAGTTGACCCTGGATTCTTGCAGGCCAGGCCAATGGGAGCCCTGATATTTAGTAGGGCAAGGGAAGCCTGGAAGGGATACCACCCCCTCTCCTCTTCCATTGATTCTATTTCTTAATTAATGAAGGAGAATTTTCTCTAACACACAGAGAAATCTTGCACTTAATAATTTGTACTCGATGGAAAATGGAAGCATTGTTGTTATTTACTGGTGCTTACCAAGGATTATGTAACTCAACTAAGCACTAATTTGTTTGGGAAATGGCTAAGAACCTTGCAATTACCACCCCCAAAGTATTTAAAAGCATAGAGAACCCCCAGAAAGCCCACAAATAAAGACCTTCATGAGTGAATTAATTTCTAATTAATTACCAGAAATTACTATCAATTATTAAACATTATTTCAAATGACTTGAACAATCTTTTCTTATGAATAATTTCAATGACTAATTGCCTGGATTTGAAAGGATTTGTCCCTCCCCTTGGGTGAAGGCAAATTGTTCATACTGAGGGATCCTCTGGGCTCACAGTTAAGAGCCCTAAGATGGGAAGGGCCAAGCTCCTTGACAACTAATTCATCACAGTTCCCTAGGGTGTGATTCCCTTCTCAGGCCCACGTACCCCAATCTCAGGTCCTTAAGCCAGAGTACCTTCTCTGCTTTGTGCCTTCAGTGGAATGATCAGATTTTTTTTGGCAGTTGATAAAGGGGAATAAAAGGAGGAAACCCAGATGAGGCTGAGCTGGCAAGAGGAGGTACAATTTCACTCACAGTTGGTCTTAATGACAACACAGTGCCTCTTATTAAAGGGATCAGTAATATGGGCCTGCAGCTGTCAGGAAGCTGGAGCTGGGGAGTGCAGAACCAGGGACCTTGCAGGAAGAATTGTTGAAAGGAAAGGTAGGTGGTAGAGAGAGAAATTTACTTCTTCAGATGATTTTTTTGGCTGCTCATTTCTGCTTCTGCTCCCGTTCTACATATCCTCTGGAGATCATGTATTTCTAGAATTTGCTCTTCTCATTCTATCCAAGATCTCTTTATCCCAAAAACCTGAAATCCAAGGCCTGGATGGTAGGACTGCTACTTTTCCCTCATACCTTCCTACAATCTCATTTTCTATTTCAACTCTAATTCAAAGGCCATACTCCAGGTCCTTGCTAGACAAAATTGTGACCTAGGTAAAGTTTTTTATGCTGTCCCCAGATTCCATGTTTGCTACTCTCTTCTACTTTCTGTAGCACCAATTCAATTAAATAAATTATTAAGTATCTATTACATGCAAGGTACCATACTAGGTATTGGGAATATGAAGGTAGATACTACATTGACCCAGCTCTCAAAGGGCTTATAACTGAATAATGCTAGGCTTGATCTCATTGTCTACATACCCTTCTTTCTCCTGAAAACCTGTAATTAGATTCTTTATTCCTATGAACAAGTAAATGACTGCTAAAGACATAAAGCCGCTCTCTAAGGGGTATCATAATAGTGAGCAAAGTCTTAAAGGATAATAATAATAATAATAATGATAAGAATAGCTAACATTTATATGACACTTTACTTTTTTTATAGCTCATTTTGTCCTTTCAACAACCCTCAAAGTTAGGTGCTATTATTATCCCTATTTTACATATGAGGAAATTGTTAAGTGACTTACCCAGGGTCACACAGACAGCATCTTGAGATCAGATCTGAACTCAAGTCCTCCTGACTCCAAGGCCAGCACTTTGTCTGCTGCGCTATCTACTTACCTCCAGCATTAAAGAGTAGAATTTCAGGCAACAGCCAGTAGGAGAGGGAGGATTTGGGGAGGGCCTATGATTCTCATTGAGAACTCAAAGGCAGGTACAAGGCTTGTCCAGTGATCCTGTATACGTATCACAGAGGCAATGCCTTCTTCATCTATGGGTAAGGATAGATAGATAGATCCAGAGTAATCCAATGATGGACTAGGATGAGTTTAAGATGGGGACTTTGCCTTTTTAAAGACATTTATGTTTAAACCATGGCAGATTTTCTACAGCTGTGATTCACACCTCAGCCCCAAATTTGGTGAATCTTCTTGATTTCTTAAAAACCACGAAAACATTATACACCAGAAATTTAGCACAATGCCAATATGGATATACTGAAGAAGGTAGCAGGCTGGCCAAATGGACCTGCCCCTCGATTGGCCTAACTTGGGAGTCACTCCTGCCTGGTGTCCTCAACCAGAGGGCAACAGCTCAAGCTAAGTGGACACCCTTTCTCCTTCCCCCTCCCATGTTGCCCCCTATAACTCACTTCTGTGGAACCTTGAACCTTTCTCACAGCCCATTCTCCTCTTTTGGCTCCTAGTTCTACTATGATACCATACACCTGCTGGGCTGCTAGGCTACAGAGATTCATATTTCTGACTGATCACTTCCAGATGAAGCCTGCCTCAGCAGGAGGTAAACATTTTATTTCTATCTTGACTTCTTTCGATGATAAAGAGAGGCAATTTGCCAGCTTGTGCTGAAGAGGGCCAAATCTGTCTCTTGTCCTATAAGTAATTACCAATACCTGATCTTCAAAGACAGGGTCTGGTTGTGTCTCCATGTGGTTGGGGCTGGCTTAATGTTGTGCTTTGCACTTTCATTACTTCTGTCAGCAACAGCTGGAGACGAAGAGCCATTTATTACAACTTCGACTCTGGGGAGGAAAAAAAAACAACACACCACAAACCAGAAAAAGAGAGACAGGATCTGTTAGCATGCCGATGACATCTCTAATAGTTTTGTTTTTGCTCTGGCATGAATGTAAACTTCAGAAAGGCAAAATTGCTATGATTACCTAGAGGTATGGAAGCTTATGGGTCTTTTACGATGTACACATTATCTCTCCCCTACTCCCACTCCCTTTACTTTCCCTCAGGTACAAACCAAGCACATTCCTTGTTGGTAAAGCTGCCCTTTCTATCGGTGGGCAATGAGTTGGCCACAGAGGGGTTCCCCTTACCCCCTACTCCCTTACCCTCTGTGAAATTTAGCAGTCACTAGTGGAGCTGGGTGCCTCTGTGGTTCAAATTGGAGGAAGAAAAATACATATGCCAGATACTTTAATTCTTAATGAAGCACAGTGCCATATATTTAGAACTGGAAGAGACCTTAGAGGTCCAACCCTCTCATTTTACAGAGGAAAAAATTGAGGAACAGAGGTGACATGATTTACCCAAGGTCTTACAGATAGTAAGTGGCAGAGTCTCACATTGACACCCAGTTCTTCTCACTCTTAATCTAACACTCTTTCCACCACATGACGCTAACTCACCTTGATAGGATGGTTTAAAAACAACAACAAAAAACAAAACAAAACAAAACAAATGACAATGAAAATGTACACCAAAGCTTGTATTGCTTTGGAATTATAGCCAAAGGTAATAGATTTCAGACCTTGGGGCAACAGTGGGGTCAATTGTTTCCACAGGGTGATACATGGTTATGTGTACATTAAATGCTTCTTTTTTCTTCCTTCCTCAAACACCAGGTATTACTGCACTCTCTTAACTTCATACGCTTGTGATCTATGCCAGTGGGTTTCTGAGAAACTAGGTTATAGTTGTATTTATATACAGGATATAATATTCAACCTAGATACTACAGGATGCACGTAGAGAGCATCTGGGTCACGGGAGAGAACTGTTCCTTTGTCTGGGGTGAGGATAGGTAGAATTTTAAGCAGATTTGAGAAGCCAAATTCTTGGCCTTTCAAGAGTCCAAATCAAAGAACTCTTTACTCTGAGGCTTCAAGCCAAGTTCAAAAACATGAAATTCTTTTTTTCCCCCCACAAGGTTTAAGCCCTGTTCTTTTCCTTAGCTTTCTGCAGATGGGCTGAGTAGAAATTCACTTTTGTGTTTTTATTGGTACCAGCTTTTACTTCTTCCCTCGATGGCCCTGGCTCGTTGTCTTGACTTCACCGTCATGTAGGTCTTCCAAAGTTGATGTGGAGAGTGGTGACTAAAATTTGGGCCTCTCCTTTTGGAACTTTCCTGGGGTTTGGAAGTACCCTATGTACTCTATTGACAGAAATACCTATGAGAATTGGGTAGGACCCCATTTATTGGCAGTAGGCCCAGGGCGCCAGCAATATCACGAGACCACAGTTGTAATGCCCATGTTTCACTGCAGCTTACATCAAGTGGCATAAAAAATGGCAGCATTTCAATATTTTATTACGATAGGCCTGATGACCACACAGAATGACTGACATTATCATCAGGTATCAGAATCCATGTGAATAGCCCTAATGCCTTTATGCCTTAGAAAATGCTTGACACATACACAGAGGATGTTTTGGGTTGCCTCAACAGGAAGGATGCCTACACCCCACTCTATCCAAGGCACAACAGGAATGGACATTTTTTGCTACTGTTTGATTAGATGGGTGGATAAATTTGGGTGGTGCTATGGCATGTAAGAGGTCTTAAGGCAATGGTTCTTAATTAACCTAGGGTACCTAGAACCCCACCTCCTCCAAAGGGTCTGTAGATAGGTTTTAGGAAGTTATATCTTTATTTCAATATAATTGTATTTCCTTATAATCCTATGTATTTTACTTTATATATTAAAAAATATCATTCTGAGAATGGGTCTGTTGACTTCACTAGACTGCCAAAGGGGTCCATGGTACAGAAAAAGTTAAGAACCCCGATGAAGGTGATCTTCTTTAGAATGGAGGTGTGTCGGGGACTGTTTTCTTGTATAAGGACACGTATTAGAACCCAGGTCTGTAGCTCCAAATTTGGTTGCTATGCTAGCATGGCACAATGACCTTGTTATAAGAGAGAAGTAATAAGAACCTTCAAAAAGCCAGCCCCAATTCCTTAAATACTTTAGGCTTAGAAGCCTGGTTGGTTAGAAGCATTAGGAAGGAACTACGAGGGCCATTTGTGATGGTTACTTGGATAATCTCAGTTTTATGAACCAGACTTTTCAAATTTCTGAGCTGGCACAATGACTTCAGATACAAAAAGTTTCAGAGGGCTCTCTTTTTTTTCTGTATCTTCTTTGGTCAACATCATTGTAATAAAATAAATGACCTTGGAATTGCTACATGACCAAAACAAGTCAGAAACAATGGCATCTTTACAATTTGTAAAAGGAGGATTATTTTTTTTTAAAGGAAGTATTAGTTAATCTTGGGTGGATCTACGAGATTCTGCAGGAGAAATTACTTTGTCAGAAATCTCCCACATTTCTCAGGATTAGTCCACATGCAGCTCTTAATATGGTCAAATATTCCACTATGGCCAAGTGAGGAAAAGCCCTATTGGAATATTGAATACATATTAAATGATCAATGTTCCTTCAGACTAATTGCTTTCTGTATACCCAAACGTTTTAAGTAGTTTCAGCTAACATCTTGAACTCTTTGTTCGAACTCCTTACCAGAGAGTGATTGTGTTTTTCTCCAACAGATTGTCAATTTTGCTGAAGAGTTTATATTGTGACCTATACTGGAATTTTGTAGGATTCAAGTTTCATAGTAAATATGCAAATTCAAGTTTTGATCCATGATATCCAAAGCTGTCTAATATGATTCTGATTTTTATCTCCTCAACATAACTGCTGCCTTCCCATATTTCCCATCTTTGGCATATGCAGACCTTGGGTCATTTGTAAGTGATCTTACATTGACAGTTCTCCCCATCTCCCACCCCCCAAAAAAAGTGATTAGGGAAATGGAAAGCAGAAATGAAACAAAACAGATCTGTTCACTAAGTAAGAAGGGCACCAGCCAGCAAAGAAGAGAAGCAGATTAATAGCTGCCTTACAGCAAAAACAAATGAACACAAAATCTAATTTACAAACCTATTAGATTTGCTATGTAAGCTGTTCACAGCTGATCTGATTGTACCTCTGCCTCCAGAATTCCTGCAAGACAAAGGAAATGCATTATTTATAAACCCAGTTCCTCTTTGCAAAGCTTTGTTCAACAGTCAAGAGATCCCCCAGTCTGGAGAGCTGTTCACGGAGGAAGCAACTCTCATTCTTGCCACTTGCCAAGAGGGTCCACCTTTGGGAGTCATTTTTCATGATGGTAAGTCAGAATGAGTTAACAGTAAGATGTATCCTTTTTGTTCCTTCTGAAGAGTCCCATTTTCAGGAAGCTTCACTTAGCCTCAGTCTTAAGGTGTGGAGTAAGCACACCTGTGATTTGCCATACCTCATTAACACCACCTGACAACTCTGTTACTGTATGCCCTCTCCGCACTTCATACTTAATTTTCTTCTACATTAATTTAGACTTGTTTATATGTTGTTCCATTATTGTCCTTAAGCCATCTTTAAGTGTGTATCTGCTCTCTCCACAAATTTCAGACCATACATCTTCCTTTTCTTTTGTACTTGGTATCAAGGGAGATAATGGATCTGAAAGCACCTTAAAAAAACCATGAAATACGAAATATAAGGTCTTATTGTTGTTTGTGGAAGCAATAATATTCATGAGTCGTCATGGCAAAATAATTCATTACTTAGTAACCTGACTTCTCTTGATGAACTATTCCATACTTAGTTTGGGTGGTCCTCTGACAACTGATATAGTCTACAACCACTACCAGACTTCTGTGAAGATTTTCCAACTTGGTAGAACCTTGTGCTCCAATGGCAGAGCCTTGGAGTATCCACCATACCACCGTGAGGCAGGAGAGCAGGACTTTTGTGGAGGTCAGAGTAATGCAATAGTGTTGGAGTCAGGGGTGGGTTGCTTATTTTTGGTCAAGACTTATGATTTCATCAATGTAGGGAACTCTCACTGGATACAGACTGACATCCTGCAATTTATAATCTTAGAAGTTGTTTGGTACACAGGTTAAATGACTTACCCTTGGTTACGGTACTAGTATGAGTCAGAGACAGACAGGACTTGAACCCAGGTCTTCCTGGTTTCAATACCAGGTTTCTACCATGATGCCTCTTGGTCTTAACTTAGTTGTCAGCAAATGAAAATTGACTATTAAAAACCAAAATTACCATCTCCCATCTATGCTAAGTCTGTAAGAGAATGACCACAAAAAGAGCAATCAGGTTGTAGCTGTTATGTTAGATACTTTGAGAGGTCCCATTAGTGCCATGGAAAAAAGGGCTGATTTTGGAGTGAGAGGATTTGGGTTCAAGTATTGGTTCCCTTGTTTATTAACTGTGTGATCTTGGGCAATCTGCTTAACCTATTTAGGCCTCAGCTTCCTCATTTAAAAAATGAGGGCTTTGGACTGGGTAAGTCCCTTTTATGGTCTCTTCTAGCTCTTAATTATGATTACCTCACTCATGCCTCCAACTGTTTCTCTAGATTTCTCTTTGTCAGCTGCCTTGACACTCTAAAGAAACCTTTTTCTAGATTGATGTGTTCCTCCCAGGGACCATCATTTTAGGTAGGACCTTAGCCATGTTTCACCTAACTTATACCTAGAACCTCTCTCTGGATTCATTCTTCTTCTCACCTACTGTCTTACCCCCATTGTGTTGTCTTCTGCCATTTAAATGTTAAGCTTCTTGAGGGTAGAAGTGTTTGCTTATGTTATTAAGCACTTAACTACAGTGCTGGTACCACTGTGCTAGGTGCTGGAGATACAATATCTAGCCATCTCTCTCTCTCTCTCTCTCTCTCTCTCTCTCTCTCTCTCTCTCTCTCTTCCTCATAATCCCCAATATTATTTATTTTGTTTTTAATTTTTTTTATTCAGAACTTTGGAAACACCAAATAAAATGAGCATTTTCATAGTCACAGTAGAAGAGGAAACAAGGATTGTATATGAAACTGCAGATCTCTAAACAGCTCATTTTTCTTTGGACAAACATATACATTCAGCATGTAATTTTCAAAGTTGTCCTATTTATCTGACCTTCTGGCCTTTTTCTGTGCATTAAAAAATTGCTTCCATGACCCTCTTTTTTTCCTTTCTTTTTTCTTTCTTTTATAGATTTGTTCTTGAAAAGTTGGGTATAAATCATATTTTGCAAATGAAATGACATTTTTTTCAATGATACTTCAATATCTCTATGACATTACTGATCATAGCATTATAGGTTTAAGGACAAACAGCTCCTTAGAGTTCACCTAGTAAAATCCCCTCATTTTATAGATGAGGAAACTGAGGTTCAGAAATATTAAGTGATTTGCCCAAGGTCACTAAGCTAGAAGGTGTTGGTGTCAGGATCAAAATCCAGGTCCTACTGCCTCAAAGTCCAGCACACTATGCCACACTGCTTCTCTGATGTAAGTATTCCTTCCAGTGATACAGGTTGCAACTCGTCCATGGCTACGTATCCTGTGTGGCTCTTCTCCATACTCTTCCATCAATACGCTACAAGGTTTCCACCCAAATTTGGGTTGGATTTTCCCAATTACTTAATTTCAGAAATGTTTTAGATTCCTATCTAGTTGATCTTTAGTTGGCAATTATGCCTAATACAGAGAATGAAAGATGAATTCACTTCAAGAAGTGAATCCCTTTGATGACAATCTGACAAATGACTATTCAGCTTCTACTTGAAATCCTCCAGTGTTAGGGAATTTACTAACTTATGAAACAATCTAACTCTCTTTAGGTCATTTTTGTAGTTATATTTTCCCTTTCATTTAGCAAGAATCTGCCTCCCTTTGGGATCCAAGAAAAATAAGAGTCATTCTTCATTCACATAACTATCCTTCAAATATTTGATGTTAACTACCGTATTTCCCCTGTTCTCCTCTTCCCCAGGTTAAGCATTCCCATTTCTTTCAACTAATCTTCCTATTGACATGTGCTATAGTCCAAAAAAATCCCTCTGTTTTTTCAGGTCTCACCTTTCTTGGTATAGGCTGTCACTTTTATAGCTACCTATATCTTTTCTTATTTAGCACCCCTTGGTTGCAATCTGTCAGGAATCTCCCATACTTAAAATTTGAATTTGCCATGCAATCTGGCTCATTAGTGCTGTGACATCAAAGGCTGGAGATCAATCAGACACACCTGAGCAAGGCCCTTTTCCTCCCTCTAAAATATCTGTCCCCTCTTCCAACGAATTGAGTTTCCTGTTGCCTGGGACCACTCAGGTGCATCAAGCTGGGAAGACTGGCCAAGATCTGGCATAACTTGGGTACTAGGTGCGGAGTGCTCCTCTTGTATGATTCTCCATTCCCTTCCTTTTCTTGCTATAGCCTCCTCCCACCTAAGAACCAGATGCCTACACTAAGTAAGTCAGAGAGGGAGCCTGCCCCTCTGGAGATCCAGTTATATGCCTAGATCTCAAGTAATTACAACTTCTAGGGATCTTTTCCAACATCCCACAGACCTCATTCCTCCAGATGTGTTGCTAGAGAAGAGCCAGGCAAAATATGTCCATAACAAAGGCCTCTCCTACTTTTAGGTGGATCTCTGTGGTGAGCCTTTGGGAGGACGTGGGCAAGAAATACTCTGGATGGGTAGGCAGGGAAGAATTGTGATCTGCATGGCTGGAGAGAACTCCCAAATTAATGAGATCATAAATCCATTCACCAACATGAATATTTAAAGAAATGAAAGGCTAGTAAAATTCAAACACAATTTTGAAATCCAAAATACACTTTATTTTAGTGAGGGCTATAATAAATAGAAGTCCTTTTAAAACAAATAGTCTTGGCAGCAGAGGACTAAACAGAAATGCAGTCAATTAATTTGCTAACTGTTCTTTTACTCTCCTCCTGCCCTTGCTATCTTTGGACATTAGTAACTAGCAGTCTTTAATTATAGTTAACTGTGAATTGGACATTTTCATCAACTGAGTCACATTTTATTTATAAATAACCACTTACAGTGTATCTTAGGATAGTTTTTAGTGCTCACTACACTTGTGATAAAACATTTCTTTTGAAAATATTCTGTAATTCTTTTTATTTTCAACCTTGATTTCTCCACTTTCTGGATTAGTCATAGCTAATTTTTCATCCTAGGTCAGTTTCTGCCTACCATTCAGTCAGTGCATGCTCAGGCACTCTAAACTTATTTTAATAATGTTTTAAGTAAAGTGTAAATGAGAGAGTAAGTCTTCTGCAAAATCATTTTATGATTATGGAGTATATTCTACGTAATCGAAAGCCAAACATAAAAGACTTGAGAGTTATTTGATGTCTAAGGTTCTCTGCACCATTGTCTGCTTCATTAAAGTGGATAATCAAGAGCTGAGTGTGTATTTTTCAGAGTGTAAGCCCATATAGATGAATACCAGGGGCTAGTCTCTATGGAGTTTTTTATTAGCAAAGTCCCAGTTGAACAATGTAACTGGCTTGGTTACTACAGTTTCTCAAATTTAAGGAAAAAAAAAAACCATAGACTTCAGTTTTCTCATCTAAGGAGATTGGATTGGATATTGGAGGTCCTTTGTAGCTTTCATGCTCTCATATCATGCACAGTGATATTCACAAAAAATAAGGATATTATAAACTCTGTAGTAAATATAAGAGAGGCACAAAACAAAGTACTCTGAAATACAAATAGAAAAAAATTCATTATTGACTGCAGGGATGGGGAACCTGTGGCCTCCAGGCCACCTGTGGCCCTCTAGGTCCTCACAAGTGTGGCCCTTTGACTGAATCCCTTAATAAAAAGATTTGTTCTGTGAAGTTTGGATTCAGTCAAAGGTCTACACTGTGGCCTTGAGGCTGCAGGTTCCCCATCGCTGGACTAGAGATCAAGGAGACCTTTGAGAAGGGAGATTGTGAAGAATGCATGGGAGTTCAATAGTAGGAGGTGGAGGAGAGGAGAGAGCACATTCCAGGCATAGAAACCCAAGCGAGGGAAGAAGCAAAGATAGCCAAGTATGGGATTGGGTGCAAGGGATGGCAAGTAATCCAGTTTGGTGGGATCACAAAGTGTATGAAGGGAAGTGGTATCAGTACTTTCTTAGTACTTAGT